GGCGAGGCTGTCGGCGACATAGTACGGTGTGGCAGTGGCGAGGCTGTCGGCGACATAGTAGGTATGGCATTGGGCGAGGCTGTCGGCGACATAGTAGGTGTGGCAGTGGGCGAGGCTGTCGGCGACATAGTAGGTATGGCATTGGGCGAGGCTGTCGGCGACGTAGTAGGTGTGGCAGTGGGCGAGGCCGTGGGCATCCCAGTCGGCGAGGCAGTGGGTGTGCCAGTCGGCAACTTGGTGGGCATCGCAGTAGGGAAGGAAGTCGGGGAACACGTCTTAGGCAAGAGCGCTTCGTACACGTTGGAGTCAGGATCGAAGACCAGGGGTGTGCACACTCCGACGCAGCAGAAGCACTGGCTGGTCACGGTATTCCAGCTGAAGAGGAACGGTACTACCTCGCCCGAGTTCAATGAGCAGTATTCATAGCAAGCCTGCGGTGTATCGATTGACTGCAGGTGTCGGTGTCCAGCTTGCCCGAGAGCCATGATGCTTCCATGCTTGCTGGATGCCGGATACGCCGAGAGACGACGGTCCTGGAAGGGGGCCAGGCGCCCTCCTTGAGAGAACCGCTGGCCCTTGCCGAGAAGCACAAAAGGCTGCGTAGGATTGATGGTAGGGGCTGGCGTCGGCGCGCAAGTCGCGGCATTTTTGAGTTTCGAGTATCGCACTTTTACGATGGCGGGGCTGGCCAGCGGCGTGATGCAAGAGGCATCTGTAGCATTCACTAGGTAAGCGAAAGCGTCCACCGCCAACGTCTCAGGGGCACACTCGTCGGCCTTCATATTGACGCGATAGCGGCGCTTTCCTCCCTTGCTTTTGGTGAAGGCGACGCCGAGCCAGTAAATCGAAGTCGTTCCATCCGTATCCTCAACAATTTGCGGCGGCGTATAGGGCTTTGAGGACGGGCGCATGGCTGTCCGCTCTACCGATAAGCCATTTGGCAGGTTCAGTTGAAACTCCAGATTGTCGACGGGGTCTTTGCTCTTTAGTGTGACGGTAATCTTGGCCTGGCCCTTCCCTGCCAGGATCCCGCGCTTCGCATTGGGCCTGACTTTGGCCTTGAGAAAAAGCCGCGGACACTCTTGAGAGACGGTGGTCAAAATGCTTGTGAAGCCCAGGAGGGCGACAAGAAATCCGCTTGAGGAAAATTTCATACTCTGCTACGCTGAATCTGTGCTTGAAAGGGCACCTGTGTGGATTTCGCTTTGAAGCTTCCGACGGATCGGATGGTTAGAAAATGCGGAAACATGAGCTCGAGGTGTACATGAATTCTGAGTGATGCAGCTATGTGCAATAAGTAAGGGTAGAAGTGCATTGATTCGATATTTTACATCTAAAACACAACGACAATATCTATCATGCTTGGTTCCGTTGGTGTTCACAGGAAGACGCGAGGATGTCCACAGCACCGCATCCTGCCACGAGAACCAGGGGCCATCACCAGTGACCTTGAATGGCACGACTTAATTGGCATGTCACAACAGAAATCACTGCAATAGGGAGAGTATTTCACCGGAAATCTAGACATAGTACCAGTCGATATATCTTCTCCCTAGAAAGGTGACATATTTGGAGCCTCTCGCTTTGAAAAAGGGATGCCACTGCGAGTGGGTACTGAACTAGGCATGGACATTGGGGGTAGCGTCTTGGGCAGGCGCATTTCGTACATGTTGTACAGAATCGAAGAATCGAAGGGGAAGGGTGTGCAAATGCCGACGCAGCAAAAGCACTGGCTGGTAACGCTATTCTAGCTGAAGAAGAAGCTGGTAACGCTATTCTAGCTGAAGAAGAAAAGCGTTTCCTGGCCCCTATTCAGCAAGCGGTATTCATAGCAAGCTTGGGGGGAATCGATTAATTGCAGTTGTCGATCTCCAAGATGGTGGAGGGCTACAATATCCTCATTCCTGTTGATTGATGAAAGCATCGATAAACGGTTTAAAAAGGGGGCCAGGCGCTCCCCTCGAGAGAATCGCTGTCCTTCACCAAAAAGCACAAAGGGCTGCGTGCGAGTAATGGAAGGAGCAAGAGTCGGCGCGCAAGTCGCGTCTTTGCTGCGTTTTTAGTATCGCACTTTCACGATGGCGGGGTTGGCCAGCGGCGTGATGCACGAGGTGTCAGTCGCATTCACTAGATAAGCGAACACATCCACCGCCAGTCTCATGGGCACATTCGTGAGCCTTCACTCTGACGCGAAAGAGGTCTTTACCCCCCTTGCGTTTGGCGAAAGCCAGGCGCTGCCAGTAAAGAGCTGTCGCTCCATCCGCATCCACAACAATTTGTGGCGGTGGATGGGCTTTGAGGACGGATGTATTGCTGTTCGCTCAACCAATAGCCCGTCCGGCAGGTTCAACTGAAAGTCCACATTTTTCAAGGGATCTTGGCTCGTGAGTGTGATTGTGATTTTAGCTTTTCCCTTCCCGGCCACGATCCCACGCCTAGGATTTGGCCAAACTTTAGCCGTTAGAAAAAGCCGCGGACACTCTTGAGAGACCGAGGTGAAGATGCTTCCGAAACCCAGGAGAGCGACGAGGGAAATGCAAAACACATCTTTCAGTTTTGAATACGTGGACTTATGCTTGAATATGGGCGCATATAGATTGGTTTAGAAGATCGGGACAGGTCGACCTGTAAGAAAATCCTCAAACATCAGTCCAATATACACAAATCAAACGGTGTACGGCTATATACAATGTCTCAAAGATTTTTAAGGTGTGGTAGATGACTAAACCATGTCAAGAATGTCTGTTTGATTCCGTTCGCGTCCACGGGATTCAGGCAATGTTCTCTTTCACGTGCCATGAAACAAAGGAGCTGATGCTACGACCTCGTGGGCAGACATCAACAGACAATGTGGCCAGCACGTGAGAAAGTTATGCATCAGCAGTCCAGAAACAATATTCCGCAAGGAAGACTCCCATTCTTCGAAGAAAGGGCACGTGCCATATGGTCATTTCAAAAACATCGCCAAAGCTGGTTTAAAAGTGACAGCTTCGGCACATGAAAAATAAGGGGATTCCATAACCATCTGGGTGCGTAAACGGGAATCCTCCCTCAATTTATTTCAATTCTATTAGGAAACATGCGAGAAATGAATGCGCTGGCAGTCCAGTAGCATTATTGTACTAGAAAAGCCCCCGTCGCTATGAGAAAAGGCACGTGGCACGTGGTCGTTCCAAGAAAGAACGCCCGTGGCTGTTTTAGTATACAGCTTGGGGATATGAAGATTAGCTTGCGTGGAAACAAATATCCTTGTCTAAGTTATTGGAGTACCATTTGCATCCGAAGATAGCTTTCAGACTTGTCCATCTGACAAGACAGTACTAGCACTGGCAACGATCTTAACTTAGGCCCCATGCATTGGGATCCTTGCTCAGAATTTTCAAACATTCGACGTGTCGTGAGAAACCACACGACCGTTAACGGGTTGGCCGTTTCAACACGTGGCTGGGGCTTGGTGTCCACCTACCTGCTCTGTGCGCGTACTGCTCGAATGGGTTAGGGTAGAGTATAATGCAATTAAAGCCGTCATGAATTGACGTTTGAGGGATATTATATTCCTGTGAGCGGGTGCGAAGACTTCTTCATTTTTGGGCCTCATTTACTGTTGAAAGAGCCCTCACCGGAGGTAAATAACGCTGGTATCAACTTATTCATGCATATTACACCTAGGTAATTCTCTAACATGATTGAAGAGCACGATATCAAACTCCTACGGCGCTTGCTTGGGAGGATGTCTGACTGTCAAGCAACCCATAGCGTCGCATACGCTGTCACATAGGTACGGTTCGGTGATCCCTGACGAAGGATTCTTTCCGTGGATTTTTCCTTTACAGGCGTTCTTCTTGACGCGAATATAGAAATGACATGATTATGACGCTATGGGAACAGAAGATCAGCGATAGATGGTAGAAAGAGCCGTTTAAGCCGTTTTACAGGATTATATCCGCTATGGGCTCTACGGTTTGTACTACGATGTGCTGATCGCAATTGTGTCATGTCATGGTTTGCGTCCACCTAATAATTTTGTATGTTATGTTACTGTACGACAACAGGACGGGCGTCGACGAGTGTCTTTGGTTGTCTTTGATTGTGTTTTGGGTATCGAGGTTCTTTGGTGAATCGTTTGGTATATATTCTCAGGGAGAATAGTGGTCGTACTAAAGAATTTACTGGGTATTGGCTTACCCACGGCGTTTTGGTTTGTTAATTCACATCAGGTTATGGGCCCTAATCGACCTAACTTTTGAACAAAACAAATATCTGATTATTCAAGACACTGATCGACGTCCTATTTTTGGTGCAATTGGATTTGCAGAAATAGAGGACATATTTACTGAATCTCTCTGGTACAATTGGATTTGCAGAGACTAAAGACTGTTTCAAATGGGTAATTGGTTGGTAGATCAAACGACAAGAATAAATTGGATCGGAAGGCTTTAAATTCGGCTGGCCGAGATAACAACCGTAAAGTAATGGGAGATAAAGATGACTATAGAATGGCGATCTTCACTGGAAGATTTGAAGACAGAGACATCTGGATTTGTGAGATTGAAAGCTTTATTGGTGCTAAGGAACTAGAGATGCCAGATATTTTCATTGGATTTGCAAAAATGCCTACCTCAAGGGATGATTTATCTTCTTATACTGATAAGAATGCCAAGGGTTATTTCACCCTTGAGAAGTACGTCAAAGGTGCGGCAGCTAGCCTAATTGAGAAATTCAGACTGGATAAGGACGGAGCTAGCGCATTCCAGGCACTCAAGGATAAATATGATTTCTAGGGTGAGACGCAAAAGGCATTGCTTATTTCCGAGTTCAACCAACTTAATTTCGATGAGAATGGCGATCCGGGAGAAACCTTTTAGGCAGCTGAGGAATTAGCTAGAAAGATCAAGCATCGATTTGATATGGAAATCGATGAATCTATACTTCTGACTCACTTGATTAACAAAATTCCATCGGCATATGGAATTGTAAAAGAAAGTTTGGAAACTCAAGATTCGATGACGTATTCTAATTTGAAGTCCAAAATGATCAATCATATAGCTAATAAGGTCAAGGATGACCAATGCTTAGCGATTAGCTTCAATGGGTACTGGAATTGGTGCAGTAAATACAGGCATGGGTGTTTCTCGATACGCAGGCGCAATAGCGCATGTTGGGTCGCGGTCCGGCCGAGTCGAGCCGCAATACCACTCGGCGGGATGCACCCAGGGGACTATAGACTTTCCTACGGGGAAGAAGGTGTTGTAATAGTTTAACCTACTTTGATATTCCTCTGTGCCTTTCTTCTCCCGGTGGGTACCGTCGATGCATGTGGTTATTGCCATAGCTATGGGAAAAATTGGCAGGAGGGGGTGGGACTTCTACCAACGGGTCTCTATGACCCGGGTCTGTTTCTGAAACACGCGCACGCACAAAGGAGTTATGAACGGAAAGACATTCTGCACAATTCTTGTCTTTTTATCTCTGAGCTCATTATGTGAGCTCACCTGGGAATGTCACATTACTTCTCAGAGGTCGTTCCCTCACCTTTGTAGAGCTCGCTGCTAACTTGCTCTGAGGGGCGACCCGACCGCTTTTTGCAGTGGTAGCAGCGAGTGAAAGTGCGGTCGGACGAAAGCGCAGCATATGTGCCGCGTATAAACTATCCAAATGAGAGAGCATACGGATAGATGCTCGAAAGAGGGACTTGATCAATCCCTACTCGAAAGCCTGATCCCCCTTCTAACTCCTCCATAGATGGTTCTTCGAGAAGGCAACCCGAGTTTTTCGTGCACTCCCTCATTTGGATCGTTTGTACGCGGCACATATGGTGCGCTTGCGTCCGACCGCACTTTCACCCGCTGCTACCACTGTAAGAAGCGGTCGGGTCGCCCCTCAGTGAAAGTTTGCAGTATTCTTCGACGACATCCTAGTTTTCAGTAGCACGGCCAAGCAATGTATCAAAGACGTGGCGACCACGCTGGATCGGCTCATCGACGCAGGATTGACGGCCTCCCCGTCCCAGTGCAAATTTGCGCGTGCCGAAACCAATATCCTGCGTTTTATCCTATCGCCAGAAGGTTTCTAACAGAACCCCGAGACCATTTCGGCAGTAGTGGATTTCCCAGTCTCGCGAGGAGTCCGCGGCGTCAAGATCCTTTTTATCATTTTGTTCGTATTATCGTCACAGATTTTTCCACAATCGCCGGACCATTGACAAAGGTTCTCTGCAAGACACAGCGGTGGGAATGGTTCGATGATCAGAACCAGGCTTTCGAAAACTTAAAGGCGGCGCTCACACCTCCTCCCGTCTTGGCCCTTCAAGAACTAAACAAGGGGTACACCCTTTACACAGACGTCCCTAACCCTAACCCTAACCCTAACCCTAACCCTAACCCTAACCCTAGCCCTAGCCCGTCTCACTTGAAACTGCCTTAATTTTCGCGCAAGCAATTCCCGCTCCATCTGAGCGAACAGAGTGAGGGAGGGAGGGAGGGAGGGAGGGAGGGAGGGAGGGGAGGAGGAATTTCTCTCTAGTATGTATTTAAAATAATCCCATATTATCAAGAGGATAGGTTTACAAATTTTCTCTTTGGGTCGAACTACTAACCCCAATCGTAGCCGCAAGCGATGAGTAAATGTGCTTCCCTGTTTTCTCTCTTGCAAGTAACTCAAGATTTCACCAACAGTCTATCGTACGAGTCTTCCGAATGTTAGGCCATTGAAACTCTCAACTCCGCAATCTCTCTCGGACAGACATGCAAGAGAATATGACCGAGTATTCTTCGCGCTAATTTCTCTCTGGTATGTATTTAAAATAATCCCATATTATCAAGAGGATAGGTTTACAAATTTTCTCTTTGGGTCGAACTACTAACCCCAATCGGAACCGCAACCTTTACCATAACTCCAACAGATCCGCCTAAGAACGGTGAAGTCTAATTCTAAGTCCAGCCAAGCCTAGAGGGGCACTTTCACTACCAATCCTGGAGAGGTGGCCGTGCTGTATAAAGGATAAGACCAAGGTCGTCAGCAAGTAAGAGCGGATGAGGTTCCTTTTTTGAGGATTGCATTTGAGCGTGTGCTTACCCAAAATATCCGTAATCCCCACTCACGACGGCAGTACGTAGTAAATTTTCACCGTCATCGAGGGTTTGGGTGGTGTCAAGACTCAATGGGCTGGTATTGATCTTCAAGACTTTCCCTGGAGAATTAAAAGTCCTGGTAATGGGTACCGGCAGGAGATGAGGAACCGAGAGAACGTAAAGGGCTTCTCGCTCATATGCATTTCTCTTGTCCCCTTCCTTACCCGAAATACACGTAGCCATTATGCGCAATAGCCGAGTTCGCTGAGGAAGTATCGGGTGGAGATTGAATAACGCTCTCCACAGCAAAGCTCGCTAGATTTACCTTAGCCACTGAGGCTGGAGCGTCGCCAGATCTGTACGGAGGGTAGAACAAAGCATTTCAGGAACTGTTGAACCATAAAGCTTAAGGTATTTGCATTATTAGCCTTTGCGTACCCGAAATACGCAAAATCGCCGCTACGAACCACCGAGATTGGGAACTGGAATCCCAAGGAGATAGCATTTACAAGAGTGAAGGTATCCAGGT